TTAGAAAAACAGCCACTTTCAAGCTCTAATATGAATTCAGTTTTTGTTTTCTTTAATTATGTCCTGAACAATAATGAACCCTCAGCACTGTTGCAGGCAAACATGTTAAACAAACCACTGTTATGTTTAAAGCTTTGAGTGCTGAGGTTTGATCTGACAGCTGCCATCCACTATTAATTCCTGGTTTCCACTTGCCTTGAGACGGACCTGGACGCCCTTCTTGTAATGCTACAGTCAGGGAAATGTGCACGTTGACATGCTCCACACAGGCACACTAGAAAGCATGGGGGCAATGTCCTGACAGCAAGAACTCCTTTGTTATTTTTACATTGCACAGACCCACACAGAATTGCACACAGAATTGCACACAGAATATTTCTCATCAACACAGATCATAACAGTTCTTGGCCTCCTGCTGGATATGTGTGCATCAGTTTGAACCTGGCACCTCTTTAACATGCTGCAGAGTACGCAAACAAAACCCCTGCTGACACACTACCACTAACCCACTTTACAGCTATTAGCCTGTGCACCGTTCAGCATTAAACAGGTCCTCAAGGTGAACTGGATTCTTCAATCCCTTCGCTCTGTCTGTGTGCGGATATGCACAGAGTATATACTTGTGTGCTGGATGTATGTGAATGGTGTACATGAGGATGTTTGCTGTTACAGTAGCGATGCTATAGATTTAAAAGCAAGTGTTTGAATGGGAGAGACTCTCTCCTTCCTGTTTTCCTAGCTGGAGGCAGGCGGCTGTAGAAGCGCTCTCACTGCTCAGCTGCCACTTCACGGGCAAGGTAGAGATGCAGTGCTACACTGGACTCAAGCAGCAGAAGTCCTGTGTGGGCCTTAATGCAGGGGAAAGCATGAAATAGCAAACTGTTTTTGTCTTGACTGTTTTAGAGAAGAGTTTAAGATGGAATAAAAATATATGGCCAGTCTGAATTTTCATCCTTTAGTTGCGGACTGTCCTTTAGGTCTCCAGATGTTATATTTGAACAGTTTTGATAAAATCTCAAGCAGCTCACTCATTGTAAACTAAATATAAATAAGGTGTATTTTCTTAGTCACTGTTATGCATCTGTAGCAGGGACAGTACAGTTTATGTAACTATTAAATCTGTTAGTTCTAGACCAAATTTAAAGGGCTTCACTTTTGTTAATTGGGTAACGGGCTTCTGTTCTGTGTGTCTGTCTGTGTGCTGACAGTTTCTCCTGTAGTGACAGCTGAGTGTCTCAGAGTGTTCAGAACAATACATTTATATTTAATTGTCAAGTTCTCTAAGTGTAATGAGACTCTGATTTAGTGCTTTATTAAAGGTAGGCACATTAGAAAGGTCAGCCAGTCAGCCCTGTCCTGTATTTGTTAAAGTTCACAGAGAGTCGGTGTGTGAGCAGCAGTCTTCAGCAGTAGGTAGACATGCTCGGGTAATTAAGAAAGTTCTTCTGCTTCATTGTGATTTTGTCTTTTTCACAGATTTCAGAGGAACATGGTAGCACTTAAGACTTAAATACCTGCAGCTAATCCCTGGCTACAGCAGGTGGATGCACAAGAAACAGCTGTAGCTAAAACGGGTTCAACAAAATACACTTTACCTGATTATGACTCAAGTCAACCAGGCTTGCACACACATCCAATCCCTCAGTCATTAGGCTGTAAACTCATGCTGAACAGCCTAACTTTGTTCAAACATACAGAGTTTAGTGGGAGATCTAACAGTTTTCAAATACGCCAGGATTCATTTTGGAGAAATGTGTATAAAACATAAAAAATATACATTTGTGGGAGTAGTGCATAAAAACAAGGATTCTTGGGTTTGAATATTTCAGGAAAGATAATATAGTCTAAATGTATAGCTGCAGCAACACGACAAGACGTCTAATGTACTAATACAGAGTGGAATTAGATGATAGTAACAACTGACAACGGGAAAGCTGTATTTTAAGGCAAGTCTTTACACAGTTTTTCTTATCACTGTAAGTTAGACATGAAAGGTGAAGGCAAATCAATGGCTGAGAGAAAAAGTTTTCAAATGAAAATAGACCTACTCCATGAAAGCCTAGAGTCCCACTGTGCACGGTCGTCTTTCACTGTTTGTGGATCTGTAGAAAATCAATCATTTTAAAAACATATAAATAAAATATTGCTGCCAGAATCATCAGTATTCCTGAGGTTTCGGGCTGTTTTTCCATCCAAGCATTAACACTTGACGTTTTCAGGAAAACCATGTGACGGATATTGGCACTGATGCACTGAAGCTGGACTGACGGGTCTTAAAATTTCACCATGATTTCTTTACTTGACATGATGAAAATTCCAAGCTAGGCCGAGATTTTTATGATTAATGCTTCATGTTTTTAAATTATGCCAAACAAGATATTCAGTGATAAAAACTTCAAAATCGCTGCTGTTCTTGTAAGCCTGTGTGCAGCAGCCACCCCGCAGAGATCAGAACTGCTGAGCTGCTTGTGGGAAGGAATGGATGTAGGTGTTTGTTTGAGACAAAATAAAAAGGGTTGGATTGAAGCTCATTTGTGCTTAACATACATTTAGGTTCTATGTCTGAAGAATTAATACAAGTGTACAAAAGCAAAGGTTTCTGGCCTTGTCAGACATGTGACATCAACTGTCACTATTAAACTTCTAAGTTACTGTTAAGTCTTGAAAAGTGATTTGTTACCTGGTAAAAACATTTGAGATTGATTCTTAATTAGCATAAATTAAATAGGAATGGAATAATAGGACATTGACAGGGAAACACATAAAGGAAGGTCTAATGTTTGTAGACAAGGCACAGTACATTGAAAGTAGTGTATAGAAGGGGAATTTAGTGCTGACCATGAGTGGACTGGTTTTCTTGATATTCTTGTTGTTTGCATCTCTGACAGTGGCAAAACAAACACACAAAATAATATCACACATGCATTTGGACTAACATTTTACAACACAGCAGCAGCTGCAAGTAACTGACTAATACATATTGTTTCAGACAAAGTATAATTTACCATGGCCAGTTTTATATTTTTAACTTATTCCAACACAAACGACTCAGAAGGTGCTTTTGTATCTCTGGTTTTGTGCTTCACAGAACTCTGGAGCACTCTCAAATTTACTTAGGTATTTTAAAAAGTCAAAATAGGTTTTATTTTTAACTCTTTGAGTAGGTGTAAATGTGTAGGATAAAATGTGATAAACACAGTATAGGTCCAGATCTCTCTTGAAGCAAAAGAGGTTATGATTAAGACATAATATGATTAATATGAGTCACAGTTGCCTCATGCGAATGGTTAGTTTCTGCACAAACAAACATGTTGTTATCCATAAACAGCCAGAAGTACTCAGTCAGCGTTGGCGCTGAAAAAACATTATTAGTGAATTCCTGCCAGAACTGAGCAGGTGCGGGCGAAAATGCCAGATGAGTATTTTTTGTGATGACTCGACCCGTACCAAACAACACGTCTAGTCGGCTTCACGCTGCGTTCAACCTTTTGCCTTTTGACACCAAGTAAGTGAGAGCAGCTGCATCGGGCTCGCGCTGACCTTTGTGGAAGTCGGTGATAAAAATGAGTTCACAGTGAAGAGTGCATCGCCACATTTTTATCAAGATGATGTATTTATAGCGGTGCCTCACACGGACCAGTTAGGTGATAATTGGATCATGACTTTGTTTACCTAGGTTTTCATCAAGATGTGTCAGGTGAGGTTGGTGAGACGTCAGGTTTCATGCTAAAAAGAAGCAAATCACACAAATGAAACAATATTACAAGAGACTAAACAATGTGAGGACAACCTGGACATTAGAAGGAACTGGACTCAAATGTTTCTGTACAAATGCATGTACATTCACACAGTGACGACACTTCTCAGCCACAAGAGTTCACATACACACAATAACACTATGTCTGGATGAACTCAGTAGGGGGACGCCTCCTGGTCTGACCTGTAACGGATAGTACTGAGACACACACACACACACACACACACACACACACACACACACCCCAAGCTGCTGAAATGTCAGCAGAGATGGGAAAAGTGTGTTGGTTGTGACTTGTCTTTCCGCTTTGCTGCACTTGTACTGGAAGCTTTAACACAAGAAATGGACTGAAAATGACACTTGAAAACAAATAGTTGTAACAAAGTGTCTGAAGTTGAAGAAAAAGCAGTTTGTGTGTTTACATGTGTGTGCGTGTGTGTGTGTGTGTGAGAGAGAATGTTAAGTGACTCCAAGATAGAACAAAAACATTTTTTATGACAAACATTTGTGTGTTCATCTTTTTAATGAGCCCAGAGACAGAATCAGCTCATCGCCTCTTTCTGCTATACCACATTCCTCCTTCCTTTGTTGCGTCCTCATGCTTACTAACATGCTTCTCTTTCCACTCCGTGTCTTCCCCTTCTAGTGCTCCATGCCCTCCTGCATTGTTGCCTTCCACGTGACTTGCGCCTTCGACCACGGCCTGGAGATGAGGACCATCCTGGCTGAGAACGACGAGGTGCGTTTTAAGTCTTTCTGCTTGGAGCACAGCTGCACCGCCAGCAACAGTAGTACTACCACCACCATCCCCTCCAGTTTGACCGGTATGAACGGCAACCATACCACCAACGGAGCATATGGCGCAGCCAGACCTGACTGGGCTGCCGCCGGTGTCATTTCTGAGCTCCGGCCAGAGCCGCAGCACCAACCAAACGGCAGCAGTAACCTGGATCAGAGGTCGGTATCGTACCCGGTTTCTGTGTCGGCGTCAGAGCGAGCTGAGCGGGACCAGCTGGAAAGAGAGAAGGTGAGCCAGAGGAAACAGAAGCTCCAGGAGCTGGAGGATGAGTTCTACCGACTGGTGGACCCCAGGGAGGTGGCTGAAAACCTGGGGCTGCCCGTTTCCCAGGTGTGTTAATCCTTAAAACTAAACACTATGATATGTCATATGAAATGATACCATAGACCAGGTGTTTATAATCACAGCCCCCTAACCCCATTCCCACTCATAACAGGTGCTCTGCAGATTTATTTGTGAATGTTCAAACAATGAATACAGTTAATTATAATTAAATGTATTACTTTTGCTTTCTTCAAGATTAAAATTTGCTTATAGGTGTGCACAGATAAAAAAAAAAAAAAAACGAACAGTTTGCTGATTATGTGTGGACAGAGAGCAGACACACAGGTGTTTTGCCACAGATGGGTTCTTGACCTGCATGTACTATGTGATGTTGGGAAAGTGCAACAGTACATTTAAAGTGCCATCGGACATCGCTGGTTATCCGTCTCCCACTAGCAACCGTGTCTTTTCAGCCATTAGCCAGGTCGTGAATCTGCCTTTAGCTCTGTTGGTGGGCTCAGCTTAGAAAATGTATCAGCATTTCTCTGGGCTCTGTTTCTTTAAGCTGAACAGCATGCTGACAGCCAGTGGCAGAGACTTGTCATTATCTGCAGCCTAATTGCATATTGAACAGTTTTTGAATTAGCTAATTTGGATGTTTATTGCATTTTTGCTGTTTTATTCTGTTAGGTTAAACGTAGACATCGCCACTGCTGCCACTCTTGTTGTGGTGAGACGTTATTAAAAACTCGCAGTAAGTGAACAGTAATAATCTTGCGGTACCCTTGGCTCCCACTGTGGGAACCACTGCCATAGACTAGTCATTCACATTAATAGGTACAACTCCTGATGTAGCAACAATAAATGACTCTCCAGACTGTGACTCAGGTACAGTATAAATAAAGCACGAGTATAAAGTATGCAGACAGTCGACAGGTTGGGCGAGTGGGAAAAAACACACGCAAGGTGAGAGGCCAGAATCACAACACTTGTTCATTCTAAGAGGGGACAAATATGCAAATATTGTAACTGTTCAGTTGGATTATACAGTGAGGGAGATGGGAGGTTTGGTTCATGTCAGTTGTGAACAAGAAGCCTGAAGCTTAATGGCTGGCAAAGACCGGAGAACTTTGCTGTATAAATCTAAGAACATCTGGTTTTAAAGGTGGAATTTCTAACAACATCATTAGCCACTGATAATTTCTTGATGAAATAATTTTGTTTTTTCTATAAGGTGGACTTTGTGTATCAGTTCTGGAAGTTGAAGAGGAAGGCCAACTTTAATCAACCTCTGGTGACCTTAAAGAGGGATGAGGTGGACAACCTGGCCCAGCAGGAGCAGGACGTCCTCTACAGACGCCTCAAACTCTTCACACACCTCCGACAAGACCTGGAGAGGGTGAGTACGAGAGCTGTGTGTGCACGTTTGGATGAAGCCGGTGGAACTTTATGCTGTAGAATATTCAGACCAGAGGTAGTGGTGTTATATTGTGTGTCTATTTGTCTGTCTGTGTGTGCATGCTCTGCTTGTTCCAGCAAGTATTGCTGGTACTTCAGGGTGATGTACATTTCTCAGAATGTTAATTAAAAAGATCACTGACAGTATCATATAAAGTTGATTTTTGCTGTCATGAATATTAATGTTAAATTAATGAACAGCCCCGAGGATGAAGGCATGATGAAATGGCTGAATGATATAATGAGTAACTGAATGATTAAAGTGAAAACCCACCACATGGAATTCCTCTTTTTTTCTGTGATCTGTGACAGTTTATTCACAATATGTAAAAACCAGTCGAGCTCAGCAAACTTGAAGAATTTTTCTCAGACCTGTTTTATTTATTAAAGCATCTGAAGTTTTTTGTTTGTTTGTTTGTTATCATCCCTTTCAAATTCAGTCTCTGGTGACCCAGAGCACAGAAGTAACATACACTGTGTATAGTGCGTCTCTTGAGACGGTGAAAGTTGCCTCTCTTGTAGAATAGTGTGGGAGATGGACGGGTGCTGACTGGATATGGTTTGTTGAGTGAATTTTATTTTTTCTGAGAGTCTCAGGATCTGCCTGTACACACTCATAAGCCCTTGATGAGCTTCTGTGCTAGTCATGGACTGTACAGTAGTTTACTGGAATATTGACCCCGTAGTACAGGTACAGGTATGTGGGGGCAGCGTAAGGATCTTTGACAAGTGCCAGACTGTGGTGGCTGATGACTGGGTCAGAGCGTCTCCCAGACTGCAGGGCCTGTTGGGTGTTCCCGGTCTGCAGTGATCGGTACGAACCAATAGTGTCTAAGGAAGGACCGACAGTGAACTGACCACAGGGTCATGAACACCCAGGGCCTGGTGATGATGAGGTTGATCTACTGTAGATTGAACTTTTAAATTTGATTCATCTTTTTCAAAAGATTCAGTTTTGTTTGAGCCTTTGTTAGAATGGTTGAAAGTGAAAAATACTGTTCATTGGTCTCTATGAAGAGAAACATAGTGGTGATATCACAGCTGGAGTGGAGAGTCTGTTGGATGTGTCTAAACAATCATCTCTAACATGTCCTCACCACCACAGTTTTAACATTTTCACTGAGTGGTCACCACATTTGTTTTCTTCCTGACAGTAGAACTATAGAAACAGCTGGATTCACAGAACACTGCTGCACCAACTGCTGCAATGACTCCTGTGTACACAGTATTAGGCAGGTGGTCATAATGTTATGGCCAATCAGTGTAGGTGTTTAAAGCCTCTATTATGGTAGAGCTGCACAGACATCTAGCCAGAGTTGTCATCACCTGAACCTGATGAGATGTGGTGATAACCCCTTTGCCAATGGTCTCCACCAGCTGGTTAAGGAAGCTTTCAAGCTGAATAAGGCCTTTTTGGCTTGGTTATCCATGGGAAAATACTGGCAGGCCAAAAGGACAGGAGCATTTGTGGTTTTGCAAAGAAATGTTTAGGGAGGCCGCAGAGAAGATGAAGACATCGACCTGGGTGAGGGAACGCTTTGAGGGAACTCTGCCTGACATATCCTCTGTGGATGGAGTCAAAATACGTATTTGGGGAAAGCTTTGCTCATATCTGTGGCAACGGGCCCCAAGGTTACTTGGTGTGTTTCATTGTCTATTGCAGCTATTGTACTGTAACTCAGGATGAGTTCCTCAGAGCTGTTAGGTTTAGCACAACACAACATTACACAACAATATTAAACAGTTAAAAGGGAAAAGAAACTAAGAAAAAACTTCCATGCAGCTTGCAGTCTGTTTTCAGCAGCTGTGATCAGGGAGAAAACCTTATAAACATGGATATAAGCTATTGAATACATGCTGCTTATTCATCCAGTGTCTCCACCTAAACCTGAAGTGTGGTCGCACAGTTCTGAGGTCAGTCAGAATGGTGAGGTATTCCCCAAGGCAGCTGAATGCGAACCACTATGTAAATTTCCTCACTCTGTTTCCTGGATTGGTCATGCTCGTAACCTCACTCCAGGCACATGTTCGCAGTGGTCTGATAGTTGATTGGCATTCGCTGCAGCAGTGCTCTCAAAACCTCTTTCTGACCCTGCAGTCTACTAGTCTAGTCTAATGACAGCCCGCAACCAAAACATCTACTGTAGCCCAGGTTTAGGGGGGACAGTGAACTCGGGTATGCCAAGGACAGGCGGCTCGCCTTCTGCATTGCTTCCTGTGTTTGAACAGATGTTTTATATCATTACTGCGGTCTAAAAATCATAGTGTCCTATGGTTTCTCATACTAAATCTACCAAAAACAGTGTTGGAAAAAGTTTCCCCTCAAGTTGAAATGTACTTTCTCACAGCAGACTGCAAGATAAACCAAATAATCTTGTGTCCTACATACAGTTCCCTTTTCCTTCATTTCTGTGGCTGCTATTTGATACCATGCAGTTGGCTTACCTTGGATTGGTGCAGCTTGGTTGATTTAATTTGGTTCACAGTGGCAGCCTTTTGGCTATTAGGTGGTTGCATATCAACCAAATGACCCACTAAAAAAGAATGAAATGCAAACACAGGGAATAATTGGTGGACGTACAGTATTTTAATTGTTCACTGGTTTTCCCATTTAGCCTCAGCTGGTAACACTAATTGAGAGGAGTTCTGATTAGACAAGTGAATAACTATGCTTTGTTCAGCTTCCCACAGGGTTCACCAGGCTTTTAAAGAACAGATTCTCACCTTTTAATTTGAAATAAAGGAGTTAAAGCAGTTAACAGCTTACAAGTGTCTGATCCAGTTCATAATCTGTGCAGTTGATCTTCAGTGTGTGTTTGTGCATGTTACTTTGTCTGGGAGCAGACAAAACGATGGAGAGAACTAACCACACACTGTAGGTGCATATTAGCTTGTGACTGTCGCTGTGCCGATATGTGACTTTTGATAGCTGGTGTTTTCTGTGATGGAAACATTGCTCTGCAGAGGCGTTTGTTTCCTGTGTTACTGTAGCTGCACCACAGTGGTCTCCAGTGGTCAGGTTTATTGATTGTTGCAGGCCTCGCCAACCTCCTGACCAGTCAGTGGATCTGTGGACTCTATAACTCTTCTCCCTCCAGACTGCCGATTATTGATGTGTGTGTTATATAAGTGGACCATACCACTTCAAGTCTCTAAGGTTAACTCTGTTAAGGCATCAATAAAAGCTAAAATAACTGAAGGAAATGAGTAAAAAAATAACAGCTTTAACGACTTGTTTTGTGTTATTCTGCCAAACCACGATAAAATCAGCTGCTCTTGCATCAATCTGGTTTGAAATTCATGTGCGTATACACAGCAAATGAGAAGTGGGTTAAAAGAACAACACTAAAAACTGAAACACACACTGGTTAAAAGCCTAATGCTAATGACCTGTCTCGATACCTCTATTCGCACAGTTCCTGAGTGTGGGTTTACGCACCTCCAGCTAACAGACAAGTGTGTCCCATGTTGGTGTTGAAAATGCTCTTTGGGATTCTGGGGTGCTGACTTGTCACAGATATTATGTACCACACTGGGTTGTTGGTGTAGTGTGCTCTGTCCTCTGTACCCACTCCAAGCTCTTGGAAATGCCATTTGCCTTTTTTGTTGTGTACAACTTGCAGCCTTTTTCTATTTCTGCTAATGTGTTGTCATTTTTGTCATTTTGGTGATTTTTTTTTCCCCAGTTTACTTGTGTCTTACTTATGATAGTTATTTTTTTAATGTATAGTATGTGTTTGGTGAAGATGTTTTTGCTTGTGTTTTGCCCATGTGCATGTGTTTTCTTAAGCTCTTGTGGCATCTTAAACACAGTTGGATTTAGTCCAAACTTGTAATGCAAAGCAGCACTTTCTAGCCCGAAAGCAGTGCTACAGTTGCAGAGCACAATGTGGTGATGTTTGTTGCCAATGCAGTGTTTCCGCTATAAACATTTCACAGTGGCGGCCCACCACTGTAGAAGAGGGAGGAGGGTTGATTGAACTAAACACTGTTAAGTCCGATAGATTTTGTAGTTTAGATTTTACAGTTTAATGACCTGTTTAACAACTGGACACAATTTGTCCAAAGCCATTTGAAACTCACACCCTTTACTCTAATGATGCTAGTAGATCTTCTAGTCTGTACAACAAACATTTGTGTATATATCATATCAAGTATGGCAGGTCTGGATGGTCTTGACTGTCCTGAATAAACAAACAGTTGTTCTGACCGCTGTGCCACTGCAGAAAAAACTCCTGCTGGAAACACGACGGTGGTTCCACAGTCCGTGTCATCAGTGGGTGATGACTTGTTTACTGTGTTCAGGGGCAGCTTGAACCAAGTACAAGTTGTTGCTTCAAATCGAGCAGCATTCCTCTTTAACATTGCTCGAAAGGAGGATTGATTATGTTTGCACTGGCAGGTCTCCTGTGTGGAGGATTGATCAGCAGTTGTCGCCTATTGGCATAGTAGGTGTTGACAGCTCACTGTTACTGATTCTCTAGAGGCTGTCAATATACTCTCAGTTCCTCTTCACCTGTCTCCTTCACTTTCCTTCCTCTTCACTTTCCTTTCTCCTGGCCCATCCTGCTTTTTCTCTCTCTCTCTCTCTCACACACACACACACACACACCAGTAATGGATGTATAACCTGTATAAAACAGAGCAATATCATCTATTGCTGGCCCATATTTTTTAACCCATATCCCTATATTTGGCATCTACTCAGCGTTGTACCTATTATTTCTCTCTGAGTTAAAGTGTGAGGTCTTTTTTTTGCATGCAGATGCATGTGTGTTGTTTGTGTGCATGGCTTTGTGTTTGTGTCAGTGTGTGTACTGTATCTGTGCATGTGAGAATGTTCCAGTCATCTCTGATTTTACTGGCAAATTGAAAAATCTCCACCATCCTGTCATCCTGTCATCCCTGGACCCCAGCTCAGTCAGACCCTGCGACCAAACC